ATTTGAATTAGAAATTTTGTTTAATTAAATTACTTGACTTTTTTCCGTACATTTTCTTTCAAAATAAAAAGGTCTCTCCTTTAAACCATTCTTTTATTATACATTCCATAAAATGTAAAAAAACAAATTGTCTTTACATACATATGAGTTGTGTTAAATTGATTAACTATAGAATTACATGCAATATGTAGTAGTACGCAAATAATATCAATAATGTGCTTGAGCTGTCTTTAGTGTCTGAATTTGAAGCAACATAAGTTGATCAATATTGGTACTTAGAATGACCTTTACATACCACACAAGACAGGTTTTGCTACATATTTTTGTAAGTTTTAATTTGTTTTCTATTTTTATCGCTTTTAAGTTTTCAAAGAATTTATGTTATTGTTGAATCACGATAAATCGATCGCTAGAGTTTGGCGATGCAATTTTCATTCTTCAATTTTAAATGTTGTACGAAAAAATTGTTTGTTACACGTCCGCAAAGAAAAAGGAAATAATATAAACGTCATTCTCAAAATCTCCCCACATTCATTAAAACAACAAGTCGAAGTTTATATTTTATATTTTTATATAATGTCATATTACAGTTTGTTATCACCAGAAAGGGCGGAGTTTGTATTTAAAATTCACAATGAAATGCGTAATAATGCTAATGTTAATTCTGGTGGTAGTAATGACTATTTTTTTTCATTAGTTGAAAAAAACAAGGAGCTTTCTGAAAATGAAAAAGAATTTTGTAAAGAACAATTTATTTATTCGTATGAATTAAATAGTGCAACATATAAAGTAGGTGAACCAAAAGAATGCAACAAGTGTAAATTGACAAAATACTCTGATAGGTTCTGTGAAGGTTGTATCAGTTTACATTTACAGAGTCTTTTCACCACTTGGACATCTGGAAATAACATAATTGACAACTTTATTCAACGATGTCAAATGAAATCATCTCTGCCACACTATATTATAGAATGGATACCTTTTGAACAATTTAAAAAAGTAACAAAGTTGACAGAAGGTGGATTTAGTTCAATTTATAAAGCTACATGGACAAGAGGAGGTATTGTTGATTATGACGAAAATAAAAAGGAATTCAGTTATTTAGGAGGTAGAGGGCAATATGTAGTATTAAAAAATTTAAACAATTCAAATAATCCAGGAAAAGCATTTTTTGATGAGGTTAGTAGTTGTCATTTAAAACAAAATAAACAATACTGTATTATATAATACTAATTGATTTTATATTCAATAGGCAATGAATTATTGTAAAGTTAGGACGCCACTGATTGTTAAATGCTTTGGTATAACTAAAGTCCCAGATAATGGAAATTATGCAATAGTTTTGAATTATCAATCAGAAGGAAATTTAAGGGGTTATTTACAAAACAATCATTTAACATTAAAAGACAGAATTACAACCTTTTGTTGTTTATGTGAAGCATTAGATGATATACATGAAAAAGATTTAATTCATTGTGATTTACATAGTGGTAATATACTTGTACAAGCAGGTAGATGTTTTATTACACATTTGGGATTATGTGGACCAGTTGATGAAAAATCATCTGATAAAGTCTATGGAGTTGTATCATATGTTGCACCCGAAGTACTTAGAGGCAAGAAGAATACCAAAGAATCCGATATCTATAGTGTTGGGATGTTAATGTGGAAATATTTGCAGGTCATCCACCATTTGATGATAGAGCTCACAATCATCATTTAATTTTTGATATATGTGCAGAAGGCTTACGACCACCAATATTACCTGGAAT